ATGCGCGTCTATGATGAACTAAAGTTTGTTATTCTTCAAACTTTAACAATTTCGTCCCTTTGACAGCTTTGGCGCCGCCAATAATTAATACCACCGTCATTACATGATTCGCGTTACAATGCTTTATGATACTCCTGTCGAGAACGTTCGAGAGAAACATATGAGCCAGCCTTTTAGTGTTCCTGGAATCCCACTCTGCCTACCATATTTTGATTGATTCTATCTTCAGCTGGTTTTCGATTCAAAATGGTGGTATCGCGGTATAAGCATAACTTGCGGTCTTACTGCGCCCTATATTTACTAAGAAATCAGTTTCGTTATTCCAGATATTGTTGGAATGTCTTTTTACCGAGTAAAATTAAATACAGAGGAGAGCTTGATTCTTTAATCATATTTAAACAGACTCATTCATAATGAGGAGTTTTAGATTTTTCCCGTTATGTTCCTAAATCGGTGAAGTGCGACTCGACTGTCTGAAATTAAGGCTTAACCAAGAGAACAAAATTAGTACAGAACTCGGTAATTACGTTCGAACATATCTAACTTAGATCGTGAGTAGTATGCGTTTGATACAAACTGGGGTACAAAAATTAATTAGTATATAAAAAAATATATATAACACAATTTAAAAAAAAAAAATTTTTTATAAAAATTTTTTTGAATTAATAAAAATTTTTATCGAATTATATCCAAATAAAGACTTATACGGTGTAAATTATATTTAATTTGTATAAGAATTTAATAAACGATAACACAACTGTTAAAACTTTAACTGAGTTTTTTTAAAAAAACGATTTGCTCTTAAAGAAAACATATGATTGGCTGTTAGTTTTTAACGAAGATGTGATTGGTTAGTATTTTATATAAGTTACTTTTTTAAAGAGAATTAGTTTTATATTTAAGCTGCAATTATGGGGATGTACGGTTTTCTGGTTACTTACGGAGACTATAAAATATACTCATCTTCTTCAATTCTGTACCGTACTTTGGATGCTTGCGTTTCTGCAGTAAAAAATTTCTCGTTCAATGTTCCTGATAATTTTCCATTTATCCTCCGCTATTTCAAAGTCAAAGATATTTGGAAAGGAGAAGGAAAATACAGTTTTATAATTGTTGGCGAGGATGGAGGAATTAACAAAGTATGTAATGGATTATACGGTTCATTCGAACGGTGTGCGGAAGATATGAGAGAAATATGTTTCGAAAATGATAAGAAAACTTTAGTAGTGTTTAAAGAGATAAGTCCAGGAATGAAATATTATAAATTTTCTAAATTTTTTAAAGGGTGACAAAGTTGATTAATATGTATTTCAAACATCCTAGTACTTGTGTAATTGCCGGTCCTTCCCAATCTGGAAAAACCACATTGGTTAGGAAAATGATTCAAAACAAAATTTATGAAAATCCTCCGAAGAAGATTTTATGGTGTTACTCCGTATATTTACCGTTTTTTCAAGAAGAAAAGGATATTACATTTATGTACGGCTTACCCGAATCTGTTCAAGGATGGGATTTGATAATAATCGATGATCTGATGCACGAACTGTCTCCAAAAACAGCATTTTTGTTTACGACAGAATCTCATCACTGTAATGTAAGTGTGATTTTAATAATGCAAAATTTGTTTCCAAAAAATAAGATTATGAGAGATATAAGTTTAAATACACATTATTTGATTTTATTTAAAAATAATCGTGATGAGAGTCAGGTGAATTGTTTAGGTCGCCAAGCTTTTGCGGGAAAATTTAATTTTTTCATGGATGCATATAAAAAAGCGACAGAAAAGGATTTTGGTTATTTGTTATTAGATTTTCATCCTAAAACAGATAAGAAATTTTCTGTGAGAGATTCTTGTTTTCCCGACGAACGAAGTATTTTTTGGATTTACTTACCGATAACATGAAAAACGTAAAGAAAAATTATCATATGCTAGCGCTTTTAGCGAAGACTACTCCTTCACAAATAAAAGCCATATTAAAAGAAGCCACTCCCAATCAAGTGAAAGTATTGTGTGAAATTTGTGATAATTTACGGAGAGGAAATATACCCACTGATGTTCGTAAATTACGAAAATATAAAAAAATTATCAGTAAATTAAGCGAAAAACGTGTTCCTATAAATACCAAAAAAAAAAAAAATTTGGTTAATCAATCTGGTTGATTCCTTCCTCTTCTACTGGCGCCGTTATTGTCTATGGCAGGAGGGTTAATCGGTAAAGTAATAGGAAAAAGAATGTAATGGCGAAGCAGATGGCCTTAGTTCCTCCCGAATTAGTAATGAGTTATCAGAAGCCTGAAATAAGAATTGGTTCTAATATCGAAGAATTACTTGAAAGTACAAATTTACCTGATGACGATAAAGCCAAGATATTAAGTCGATTGATTTCGAGATATCAGAGAACAGTTCATGCTCCTAAAGAACCTGTCAGAGTATCAGTCGTATCTAACCAAAATGAAGAAACAGAATCTCAACCGAAAGAAAAAACTGATAATGATGATGATGACGGATTTATGAAACAAATAATTTTATCGGTACCTGAATTATATCAAAAATATATATTTCATTTAATCGCTAAGTTGGATTGAAGTCATTACAAATGGAATTCTAAAGGTGAATTAACAATCGATGGAAAACCTGTTATCGAGAGTCATATAGTAGACTTAGTTTCGTATGTAATGAGAAATATGAAAACTGCATTATGTTCAGTTGGTTTCAAAGACTTTTTTGATGGCTTAAAGAAAATAAATATTCCTAAAGAGTGGATCGGAAACAAAAGTTTGGCGATATCAGTCGAAACTTCCGAAGAAATTTTTTCTAATCAGTTGAAAAAATCTAAGAAAAAGAGGAAGAAAAATCTCCAATGAAAAAATTTTTGAAATCGATATACTATAATCCTAAATTTACAGCGTCTTTCGGTGGCATGAGTAAATTAGTTAAAGAATCAAATTTGCCGAGATCTGTTGTTAAAAAATGGCTGTGTTCTCAAGTAACTTATACGCTTCATAAACTTGTAAGAATTAAATGTTCGCGACGAAAAACTATAAGTTTTTATCCTAACGATTTATGGCAAGCTGATTTAGATGTATTAAAACAATTTTCTAGATTTAATAATGGAATAAAGTATTCACTAANAAATGAAAAACGTAAAGAAAAATTATCATATGCTAGCGCTTTTAGCAAAGACTACTCCTTCACAAAGGAAAGCCATATTAAAAAAAGCTACTCCCAATCAAGTTAAAGTGTTGTGTGAAATTTGTGATAATTTGCTGAGAGGAAATATACCCACTGTTCGTAAATTACGAAAATATAAAAAAAATTATCAGGAAATTAAGCGAAAAACGTGTTCCTATAAATACCAAAAAAGAAATTTTGGTTAATTAATCTGGTTGATTCCTTCCTCTTCTACTGGCGCCGTTATTGTCTATGGCAGGAGGGTTAATCGATAAAGTAATAGGAAAAAGAATGTAATGGCGAAGCAGATGGCCTTAGTTCCTCCCGAATTAGTAATGAGTTATCAGAAGCCTGAAATAAGAATTGGTTTTAATATCGAAGAATTACTCGAAAGTACAAATTTACCTGATGACGATAAAGTCAAGTTATTAAGTCAATTGATTTCGAGATATCAGAGAACAGTTCACGCTCCTAAAGAACCGGTCAGAGTATCAGTCGTATCTAACCAAAATAAAGAAACAGAATCTGAACCGAAAGAAAAAAACTGATAATGATGATGATGACAAATTTATGAAACAAATAATTTTATCGGAACCTGAATTATATCAAAAATATATACCTCATTTAATCGCTAAGTTTGGATCGAAGTCATTACGGATGGAATTCTAAAGGTGAATTAACAATCGATGGAAAACCTGTTATCGGGAGTCATATAGTAGACTTAGTTTCGTATGTAATGAAAAATAGGAAAACTGCATTATGTCCAGTTGGTTTCAAAGGCTTTTTTGATGGCTTAAAGAAAATAAATATTCTTAAAGAGTGGATCGGAAACAAAAGTTTGGCGACATCAGTCGAAACTCCCGAAGAAATTTTCTCTAATCAGTCGAAAAAATCTAAGAGGAAGAGGAAGAAAAATCTTGAATGGAAAAACTTTTGAAATCGATATACTATAATCCTAAATCTCCAGCGTCTTTCGGTGGCGTGAGTAAATTAGTTAAAGAATCAAATTTGCCGCGATCTGTTGTTAAAAAATGGCTGTCTTCTCAAGTAACTTATACGCTTCATAAACTTGTAGGAATTAAATATTCGGGACGAAAAACTATAAGTTTTTATCCTAACGATTTATGGCAAGCTGATTTAGTTGTATTAAAACAATTTTCTAGATTTAATAATGGAATAAAGTATTTACTAACTGTAATCGATGTATTTACTAAGTATTGTTATGTTGTACCGATAAAAGATAAAAAACCCCAATCGGTTTTTAAAGCTTTTCAAATGATTTTTAAAAAAAGAAACATTCCGAAAAATTTACAAACTGATAAGGGGAAAGAATTTTATAATAAATTAGTAAAAAATCTTTTTAAAAAATTTAAAATTAATCATTATTCGACTCATTCAGATACAAAAGCTGCTGTTGTTGAAAGATTAAATAAAACTTTGCGAAATAAAATATATAGATTATTTACTTATCGTAATTCTTATAAATATATCGATAAATTATCGGATATTGTGAAAAGTTATAATAATAGTTTTCATAGAAGTATCGGTATGTCGCCGTCGGAAGTTACACCTTTGCATCACAGCTCTATTTTCGAAAAGTTGTACGGTATAAAAGGACAGAACACGTTTAAATTTAATATTGGCGACCTCGTTCGAATTTCGAAAATACGTAAAACATTTAGTCGAGGATACCTACCGGGTTGGACGGAAGAAATATTTATTATTTACGATCGTTTTTCGTCTCATCCTCCGACGTATATATTGAAAGATTTAAATAACGAGATTTTGGAAGGAAGATTTTATACAGAAGAATTACAGAAGGTAACAAAATGATGCAGTCGGACTTTTTCGTCACTCTGATAAGCAACGCCAGCATGGAGTTATTTCCCGAAAATAAGCAGTCTCATTTCACCGTGAAAATGAGTCCACCTATCGATTTACGCGGGAAATGGGTAGTAGGTCTGAGCGAGGTTATTATTCCTAGAAATTGGTTCAACATATCAAATCATAATAACGATTATACTATTACTAGACATAAAATTAGAAGAGAAAAAATAACTGATGTAACATGTGAGATTCCATTAACTACAGGCGATGAAAATGAAGAAGGGACGCTTTTCCATTGGATAAACGAGAATATAGTTTCGTTAACAGGATCTAAGTTGGCAGAATTTGTTTTAGACGAGGATTATAAAAACGTAAAACTAAATTTGGAAGAGGGATTCGAGTTGCATATTTCGAAAGAAAAGGCTCATAAACTACTTTATTTTTTAAATTTACCGACGAAAGATATAGTATTTAAACAACGGAGTTCGAGTTTAATATTGCGAGATGCGAGTGAGGAATATCTATCAAATCCTAGATTTTATAAAGATCAATTTATAACTTTAATAGAAAGAGATAAAAAACTTGTCGAGGAAATCGATGTAGAGGAAAAAATTTTTATTCCAATCGGGTTATATTCCTCTGTTGAAAAATTTCTTGGAATTTTTAAATATATTAAATTAGCATTACTACCTAATAACAAAATCGTTTTAAAAGTTCATAAAAATATAACAATTGAATTCGGAAACGAATTAAAAGATTTGTTAGGATTTAAAAAAAGCAAATTTTCCGAAGGCGAATATGTGAGCGACTATCCCATCGAATTATCTGCCGGAATTTCAGAAATTTTTATTTATTCGAATATCGTTGCTTCTCATCGTGTTGGGGATATAACCGCTCCACTTTTAAGGGTTATACCTGTAATGGGGGAAAAGTCAGATCAAATAGTTAGGGTCTACCAATCACCTCTATACCTTCCTTTACGACGTAATTATATAGATACAATTGAAATCGAGCTGAGAACTGCTAGTGGAAAAGAAATCGTCTTTTTTGGAGGAAAGACATTATTAGTTTTATCTTTTAAACAGATATAAATATTGGTATATTTTATATATTAACGTTAGTTCGTCTTTGTGAAGTAGAAAATGAAGCGCGATCCCAGAGATTGTATAGATTATTACTGCAATCAAGCAGGAGGAACGGTACTGACACATGAGTTTCCATTATTTGCATGACTATTCGGAAGAGGGACTTATTTTGCTGGATTGCAAATACAGAGAGGATACGAATTTTTCGGGGATTTATTTCATAAATCTATTCCTATTCTTAGTAAATTTGGAAAGTATCTAGGGGGTATCTAGTGGGTAAAGCTTTAAAATTTGCATCGAATGTTGGATCAGATGTAATTGGAGGTAAGTCGTTTAAAAAATCTACAAAAATTCGTTTTAAAGATGTACGATCTGAAATTAAGGAAGAGGTGCTTAACAAAGTACAGACTGGATCGGGTATAAAAAAAATGACGAAAAAGATTAACTCAGTAGGAAAAGAAGAAGAAGCGAAAACTTAACGATATTTTCGGTAATTAAGAAACGATGAATGTCCATTCGTGTAGCTGCACCAAATCTGATTTAAATTTGTTTACAAATGTTGGAATCCAACTGGCTATTGACAATACGTATGAAGTCACCGCGCATCCCATCGCTGCAATTAATGACAGTAGATCACCTATAGGGTTTCTTATATCAGGATCGGGTGAGCATTATATGGATCTACATTCGATTTATCTATGTGTTCAAGCGAAAATCGTAAAGAAAGATGGATCAAACCTTGGCTCGGAAGAGAAAGTTACTCCTGTTAATTATTTTTTAAATAGTTTGTTATTTCAGTGTACTGTGTTTTTAAATGACAAACCGGTAATTACGCAGGTTAATTATTTGTATCCAGCTATATTAAATGCCTTGCTATTTAATTCGAAAGAAGTGCAAGAAACTTTTTTAACGAGCGCGTTATTTTTTAAAGATACTGCCGGACAAATGGATTCAATAAATCCGTTAGATGAAAATAATACTAACTACGGATTAGTTAAAAGATTTAACATCAGCAAAGAAAGTAGAATAAGAGATTTAATGGGACGTCTTCATATTGATTTAGCGAATCAGCCTAAGCTTCTAACGAACAATGTAGACCTANGGTTAATTACCCGTATCGAGCTATATTAGATGCCTTGCTATTTAATTCGAAAGAAGTGCAAGAAACTTTTTTAACGAGCGCGTTATTTTTTAAAGATACTGCCGGACAAATGGATTCAATAAATTTGTTAGATGAAAATAATACTAACTACGGATTAGTTAAAAGATTTAACATCAGCAAAGGAAGTAGAATAATAGATTTAATGGGACGTCTTCATATTGATTTAGCGAACCAGCCTAAGCTTCTAACGAACAATGTAGACCTGAGAATTAAATTGGAAAGATCTAAAGAAAATTTTGCACTAATGGCGAATAACAACGACTATAAAATTATTATTAAAAACGCCTCACTGAAAATTAATAAAGTAGATGTTAGTTTGTCAATACAGATAGGAATTGAAAAAGCATTACAGACTGGTTTAATTAAATTACCGTTCCGTCAACAGATGTGAAAGTCTTTACGTTAACTAGCGAAATTCAATCTACAAGTATATCAAACGTTGTTATCGGCCAACTACCTTATAGAATAACTCTCAGATTAGTTTCTAATTCTGCATTTAATGAAAATGTGAAGCGTAATCTTAATAATTTTAAAAATTATGATTTAAATTATGATTTAAATCATTTGATTGTCTTTTTATCAAAAGACAATCAAATGATTCCTTCTAAACCCTATACTCCTGATTATACCAATAACATTTATGCAAGAAATTTTATCTCGTTATTCGAAGATATCGGATGTATTCATTATCACAAATCTATAAATATATTGTATGACGAGTATCGAGACGGTTATACTTTATATTGTTTTGATCTTACCCCTGATAAATCAGGCTCTGAGTCTCACGTTAGCGTTAACGAGCTTGGAAATATTTCTGTGGAATTAAAGTTTTCGAAGGCGATACCAGAAACCATAAACGTTATTTGTTTGCTAGAATATAATAATACCTTAGAAATCGATAATTCACGAACCGTATTCGTCGATTATTAATGAATACTGTGGCATTGTGGAGATTAGCAGCGAGCGATCCGAAAATAAAAAGAAATTTTGGAGGGAGTTTTTGCATCTGACGATCTACCGTTTCGAGTTGGTAATAAACAATTTTTTATAATTAATTTGGATGAAAAAAATAAGCCTGGAAGTCATTGGGTATCAGTATTTTTTATGAAAAGATAAAAATTCTTGCGTTTATTACGATAGTTATGGATTAAAACCAAGAAAAGCAAGTATCATGAGATTTATAAAACGAAATTCAAAAAAATATTGTTGGAATAATATTATTCATCAAAGTTTGTTTTCCTTAAACTGTGGTTATTTCTGCTTATATTTTTTATATAAAATTAATAGAAATCTATGTTTATCAGAACTGCATGTAACAGATAAATTTTATAACGATGAATTTGTTAAAAATTTTGTTAAAAATAATTTTCATTTATCAAAACCGATTGTAATAACCAATAACCAGTGTTGTAATTCAATAAAATAAAATCTATTTAAAATATGAAAATTGTGTTTTTTATTCACAAAACTTACTATTCATTTTTCTGCTATCCGAACCTCTGGCAGTATTTATACTGATACAGGATTTTCCTTAATAAACAAGTTATGCATTCACCCTGACCCACAAAAATAGGTAACCGGATTTTTCCAATTCGACTTGACAGGACATGTTACAGATTTTCCTATTCGACTTGACAGGACATGTTACGGGATTAGGTTAATCTATCATGTTTTTTTTTTTTAAAAAAAAAAAGACAATAATCATCTGATTTGGTGTGAATATCGAGGTGTTTTTTATATATGAGTTAGGGTTAGATATAATACTGATTATATCCAACAGAATTATGTACTTTTTCAATACTTAAAATATAAAGAAGTTTTATTTAATACATACCTGTTTTCAAGGAAGAATTCTTATCCTCAGATGTAATGGTAACAGAGAGCAACATAAGTTTTTTATTATCTAGAGATTATATACGTTTTAAGTTTTAAAAAAAAAATGATTTTGTTCTTAAAGAAAAATATAATTTTTGGTGTTAGTGATTGATATCGGCAAGTGAATTATGGTAAATATTTTTACTGATCTTTATAGATAATATACAACTTGTTGCTAGATCCAAATCGAATTTCGTCTTTTGTTTTCACCACCTCTTTTCTTATCAAAATCAAATTCTACAATTAGTTTAATTTTATTTAAGTTTTCATTATATCATCAATGATGTTACTAATATCACTAGTATAGAGAAACAAAAACTGTCATAATATAATTTCTTAACAGAATTATTAGGCAAAGAAAGCTGTCCTTTAGTGCAGTAGTTTTAAGAAAAAAAAAAACAGCTGGGAAAAACAGCTGTACCCCAGTTAAAAAACAAAAAACATTTGCGAAAAACAGGTGTGCCCTTGTACCCAGTTAAAAGACAAAAAACACAGCTGTCCCTAGTTGGAAGACACAGCTGGGAAAAAAAGGTATGGTCCTAGTACCCCGGTTAGAAGACAGCTGTAGACAGCTGTCCCTAGTGCGGTAGTTTGAAGACAAAAAACACGGCGTGGGAAAACAGCTGTACCCTAGCACCGTAGTTAGAAGACAAAAACACAGCTGTCCGAGTTAAAAGACCAGCTGCATTCCCACGATCTAGATAATAACTAGTGATGTAACGAATATTCTGCCACTATTCAGTATTCGGCCTATTCGGCCTATTTTTTACTATTCGGCCGAATACCGAATATTTAATCACTACTCGGCCGAATATCGAATATTTAATCACTACTCGGCCGAATACCGAATACCTAAGAACAGGAGTAAGAAATAACAAAACACAGTAAATTAATCATTTTGGTAACTTTTATCAATGCTGAACATACATTTCAAGATTGAGAAAAAGCGCAATTTTTTGCTTATTTATGTAAAAGATCAAAGGAAAAAGTAATATAATTAAGTTATTTTTTAAGAGATCAAAAAATAACAAAGCAAATGAAATCTACCTACTTATTATGTAGTTTAGTCATCTATAAACCCGTATATAAAAGAACAAGTCCTGATAGGATAATTAACGCAAACCCAAAACTACTGGTGCTACAATCTTAAAAATTTGAGGGCGTGTTCCTTTTGTAAAGTTTAGACGTACTAAGAAAAAAATTTTACGAAATTAAATCCTAAAGGAGTGAAAAAGGGTAAAAAATTTGTATGAAAACTGCGTGGGCTTGTTTTACTGCGTGGGCACATTAAATCGAAACTTAAGTCATAAAATGTGAAAAAATGATAATTAATGATCTGTAATTTTATGAAATTATCCTTTATTATAAACTTGAATATTAAATTAACTTTTTTGTTTCATTGTACAAAATTATTTATTATAACTGAAGTCAATAAATGGTAGGTTATGATGCAGAAAAATCAAGTTTTCTGCATTAATGGGAAAAAGTCTGTACCTCTTTTCTTCGTATACGTTTCCTGCTTCACTAAAAAGCCTCTCTGAATACATGCTGCTTGCAGTAGCTGATAAGTACTTAGCAGCCAGTTTGACTAAACATGGGGAAAATTTAGATTTATGTGTAGCCCACCAGGCAAATGAATCGTCGTTTCTCTTTAAAGTTTTCATGCTCAAGGACATATCAAGGTCACCTGCTATGATGTTCTTTGAAGTAGAAGCTATTCCAGTTACGTCGGACGTTCAGCGCCGCCTTGCTGTAAGCCTAGACGTTTGACAATGGCGTTTGGAACGTCAGTGGAATCATGCTCGACGTTCCGAACGCCATTGTCAAACTTCTAGGCTTACAGGAAGGCGGCGCTGAACGTCCGACGTACACGTTTTCGCGATGAAAACTTCGGCCGCAACCTCTCTATTTACAGGTGTAGGTCATTTCATTGTTATCCACATTTGATATCATCACTTATAACATACTGCCATGACGCTAATGTCTGTCCGCTACAACTGTCAAGAATTAACGCGATTGAAGAAGTATAGTGACAGCAAGCCAATAGAGAGCAGGGTGCGCGATTCTTGCCATATAATGCGATTTGCGCGCCAATTTTCGTACGTGCGTTAATGAAGCCGAATAGTATGGCCGAATATTCGGTATTCGGCCTGAGGCCGAATATACTATTCGTTACATCACTAGTTATTAAGTTTGGACATAGTCTCTATGTACCCATCAGTAAAGTGGGAAATTATTGAAAAAAGCTTACTTAATTAATCTAGACATACATAACCGGTTATTAGAGTTAATAAAATATAGTTTTATGAATAATTACTTTCATATTGACGAGAAAATATATAGATAAAAAAATGGTATTAGCATGGGAACAGTATTTGGCTCAAAACTTGCCAAAATATGCATGATAGAAATAGATAAAAAATTACCAAACTTAAATGGAATAGTATTAATATCTTTTCCTTCTCTTCAACTGTAAAGGAAGATGAGAAGGTGTAACTTTTTAACGTCATAAAATTGTGCATCAGAGAAATATTCGTCTAAATCTTCTCATTTCATATAATTTTATGGATAAATTATTAACATCTATTTAAAGGCATACGGAAAAAAAATAGAAAGTTCTTTGTATTTGTCAACGTATTCATAATTACGAATTTAATACTGCTTTAAAAGTGATTGAAGTACGGGAATTTATAGTGAAAGGAGATAGTCCTGTTGAAATATTACATTTGCGGGACATAAAAACAATATCAACATTATATCGCGACAGATAAGTTTCTTGATCATTGGTTTGTCAGGTTCTCCAATTTAAATAAGAAAGATTAAAAAAAAGTAGAAAAAAGTCAGTTTATCTAATGAAAAAACTAGCAACGGTTGCTTAACTTTCCCAGCAATATTTCGTGGCATTTTCGTAATGATATTTTACTTTTAACTATTATAAAATGGCAAAAAGTTTAATTTTGAGAGTAGGGATGAGTTTTATAAAAAAATTTGTAAATGCTCATAACAAGTAAAATCGTCGTTAAGTACCTTCTTTATTCTCCACTCTTTCGATTTTTAATCACTAAAATTTAATAGCGTCCATCCCCCTAACAAATAAAACCTCCCAGCAAAATTTAAGAAATGTTTGACAAAAAACACAGAAATGTTTGACATAAAAACAGGAGTTATTAAGCTTGAAAGAGGATGAACAAAATCATGCACCACACACTCACTAATATCCATACATACAGAAAACACCCGATATTGTTTTTTGCATTTTTTGACGTTTTAAGGTGCCTCAGTCCAAACAATGTAAAATTCTTGGGAGACTATTTTTTTTTAACTGATCGCAATACTTTTATTTTGCTTTATATATAATACACCTTGAAAGTGATAACGATTATAATTGGAAGTAGACATCACAATTACTTTTATCGTTTAGGGAAGAAATTAATCCCCGAAAACAGGCAATTCTGACTCCTGTACATATAGTCAGTCAGTAAGTTTTTATTTGGCGCGGAATTACTGCCATAATACTCGACACGAGGTATCGATTTTCTTAAAAATTTCAATAAAATAAGCGGTATTTAAATAAGATTTTCAGGTTATTTTTCTAGGGATGAAAGAATAAATCAAACGAACAGATTTGAAGACAAACAGAAAAAGTTAGAGTAGACTTGGAATATGATGCTTCAATAATAAATAAAATCTATACTACAGAACTTTAATGGTATGGAATGACGAATGTTATATCAACGTTTATTTAATCTAGAGTTTAATACCAATTTCATTGTACAGTAGAATAAATAAGAAAAAAGCGAGAAAATTTAAAATACAACAGCGAATGAAAGCGAAAGATGAAAAGTGGTTTTGGCTTACAGCTTGAAAGACAAATTACTAATGATATAACGGCTCACCAGTGGCCAAGCGGTCTTCGTACCCTGAACACTGGGAGTTCGGTCATGAGTTCGCGCCTCGCTCGGAATAGCTGACCATGTGGAGTTTTCCGGGTTTCTCCACGTCTGTAACGCCTAAATAGAGGCCAGTTTCCCTTAAAAAGATTTCTCATAAGGCATCCTCTTAGGCAGGTCGACCAAGTGTTGTGTTGCCATAACTAAACAAACAAACTGTCCATAAATCAGACAGACCAACCCCCGAAAAATTCCTAGGGATTACTTTTACCTGTCCGGATTTGATCCCGGGTTCCCCAGGGCGGTAGGCTGCCACCTTAACCACTCGGCCATCCGGCCGACTAGAGATACTATTATGTGCCAGGCTGCAACATACAAATTTTTGAGAATTCGACCCAAACTCGAAACGAGTTCAGTGTCGGACCAACAACGAATTTCACCGAGAAATATACATCTATATTGGCATACCGCAAATACCGTCAATCCCCAATAGCCACTCTTCCTCCACAGAAAATTTCTCCAATTGGGAAAATTCTATCTCTGTGAATTACAACATACATTATTAAAAGGGACGTTCCCACTAAAAAAACTGGAAGTTTCCAGCACGTAGTTATAATTTTCTTACAAGTACGGCTTTAAATAAAATTGCTTGTAATTTATAAATTAAAAATATATTCAGTAAATAGTTTAAAGAATTTTATCAATTAATTTTCATACAATTCGTGTTATTCAGTTATTTAACTTTAGTTTAAAAATTACATTTATTAAGCAATAATATTTTGATAATTTATGTCAGATATTTCAACTGGAAAGATAATAATTATCTAGGAAACGTTTGTTAGTTCTCAGGGTTTTATAATTCCTGATAAAAAAATTATCTATAAAATGTTTTCACAAGTCATTCGATATTTACAGTTCTTTATTATCTGTGTATCAAGTAAGTATTACAAAAATTCGTATTTTTTACTTGAAACTTTCAGTTATATGAAAAAAAAAAATTGTTAGAATTTATCTCATATACCTGAAAATTGAATACGAACTTAATTAATATAAAGTTTAGCCCAAAAGTCAGATAACTGATATTTTAAACAACGCTTTAAATAATTCTAAGACCCTTTTAGAATCGCCGTTTCTTGAAGGACACCTGTGCACACACAATTTATCACGGGTAGTACGAGTAGTCTGTGAAGTTGACATACTCAATTCCGTTTTTTAAGTAACCTGTGCCATTCGTTTGCCAATATTTTAATTAAAATTATAAGAAATTCTGGCAATCTGGATATCCCATGGTTAAATACAATAGATAGAAGGAAAAACGCTCATAGTCATCATATTGTAAGGTGATGGTAATGTTTGTAAAGAGTAGCTAGAGGTACCAGTGGTAGAGAGTAACCAGGCGGTGAGAAACGATGTCGACACATCCGAAGAATTTCCGGGTAATTTTTGGCCCAAATTCGATCCCGGTCCTGCAGAATGTTAAGATGACGCGTTATCTTTGGCTCTGCGACTATCTAAAAGATGAAATAATTTTAAAATATATTCATATCATAAAATTACAAAAATGAAGGATAATATAATAAAATTTCGATGTCTTCTACACGGTGTTTTATGTTTTTACTCTCACAAAGGTAAATTTTTACAACTAACTTATGCTAGAGTAATTTTTAAACTCTTTATACGTAGCTTTATATGTCGGCAGAGAAGAGCCTAAATAAAAACGTCGGCTTTTCTAGTGTTGATTGAATTCCGATGGTCGGAATCCACATGCAGAATCCATCTTCAAAATGTTTTTGTATTAGTCTTCATGTGTGTAATTTTATTTATCTAGGTTAACTGACTTTTCGGCCACTCTACTAATATTTAAATGATTTTGAAATTAATTAATTAATACTTTTATTAATATTATTTTGTAAATTTAGGAATAATCTGCAGAAATGGCAATCATTTTACCAGTATTGTTTACATATGCTATGGTTGGGATTACTTTTGATTACAAAAATTATGTAAAAGAAAATTTTGCTATTTATGGCACTTTATATGATAAATCAACAGTAAGTAATAATATAACGAACTTTATATTAAAAAAATTTAATTGTTAAAATATATAAATTTATATTTTTAAGGTAAAAATCGATGAGAAATATTCTTCACAATATAAAGTGATCGAAATTCCTAAAGACGTCAGAGATCTTTATGATATTGATGCAAGATTATCTTTGCGTATGAAACTCTATTCTTATAGATCGAATTCTTTCATTGATAATTTAATTAAAAATTCTATCGGGAAAAAACGCAACGATGTAGAAATCCAAATTTATGTTCAATATCAAAAGGTATATAAAAAATACTGTATTATTCAGTAAAATTCAGATTATTATAATCCTCAAAAGTCGAATTACAACACGATAAAAGAAAAGGCACTGTGTTACAAAATTCGCAGGAAATAAAGAGTTGCTTGAAATATGCAAACCATCAAAAATAAGCAAAAAGAGATGCCAAGCAAATTCATTTATTTAATAACGAGTCTACGTACAAATGAAGTAATAAATTATATTATCTGCAACTATATGCTATTTACAATATTATCGATTATTGCCTTAGATGGACGTCATGTGACATCAATATAAAACGAAGCAAACATATAAATTAAAGGAAAAAGCTTTCAGTGAAGTTGTCAACCGATAAGGTACCATACAGGCTCAATTGGTAATAAATCGGTGCATATGACGTTCCTGTGCTGATATATATGAAATATGTACAAGGAATCACGCGAGTTTTTATCTTAAACCATAATGCTGGGTGTTGGCCACTCTACTTTCCCATGATAAGAATTACAATGTAGCGTTGCTTTTAAATTATCTTGCTTCCACTTCTGTCTAAGTTGAAATAGTTTTTAATATAGACAGAAGTAGGATTTATCGATGCATAATGCTTGTTTCTGCTCGAATTTTTAGTGTTGTCGAGTTCTCTACAGAGCCATGCACTGAATCCAGTATCACAGAGTTAATGGTATGCTTTTGGCATGTTCTCTGGCTTGGAAGCCAATCTCATGCAAATGTTTCTTAATTGTCTGTATTATTACAATTACACCACCAGTATTCTGTACATAAGCCATAATTACCCTTCAGCAGAAAAAGAATTATGCACTTTTAAGTTCCTAATATGTCAATTCATTATTTTTAAAGTTTGCTTTTGTACACTATTCCCACGTCGGCATTTTCTGAGTGTTTTTGAATTCACTATACCATTCAGCATTGCACAGTAATGATATTAAAGCACAAATGAGTAGAATTGGAATTGATGACAATCCATATTTATCTAAACTAAACAATCATGTTTTGGTAGATACCAATCACATAGCGTTGTATTATAATTTTTTATATTCTGTGCATACTGTAAACTTCTAACAGAATTTTCTGCATTTATTCGTGCCTCATAAGGAAGTGATATATTTCCAGTGTAACAATTTTTATGCCTCTTCCGTTACTATCTGTGACATAATTCGATACTGAAGTTTAACTATTTGCATATCACAGACTCCTCTTTTTTATAATTCTATAGACTGACGCCTTTTCTTTCATTGTATTGCAATTTTACTGTTGAAAAATTTAGTTTCTAATTTATTCGGGTTTTTATAAATAAAATAATGATATTAATAGAACTGTATTTTAATAGAGTATAGTAGGAATTCCCGAAGATGCTAAACCATCCTATGACTTAGAATCAAGGCTTAATAAATCTTCTAGCACTCATTTTGTCAAGAGAACAAGAAACGGTGCAATAATACAAATAACACTCATATTTCCTTGTAAATCTGAGGATCATCGACAAAAAGTTTTAAAGGTTGTACTAAGCCATTTACAAAAATCTGGTACATTCGATAAAAACTTTATTGGTAAGATCTTGTATTGTTTCTTAGTATTTATCAGTATTTTAAATTCTTTATATACTTGGCAAAACATAATTATTATTATTTTTAACTCTACCAGTCTTGTTAGCATCAAAAGGTTTGTGATTACGTGGTTTGATTATTGTGGATGCCTCACCACGCAGACAACAAGAATAAAATTAACAATACAGAGGTACTTTAGTTACCTCTGTGCTTTAATTTTATTCCTGTTGAACCGTGCTGAATTATTTATTGCTTTCTAGAAAATACCTATATGTAATGTTGTATAGATACCCAGTAGTCCAAATTAAATCATATTTTGTACACTGCTATTTCCGTACATACAGAAAAACTTCTGCAGCAAAATATTTAGTTCTCAAACCCATCACTAAGGAAATTGTGGCGCTTCAAGCGGCAAAACTAAACATAGCAAATTTATAGTGTACAGTACAAGTGTCGATTTTTCTAGGTATAAAACTGCCTATAGTAAATGAAATATTATTAGCATTATTGTAGACCGGTAGTGATGATCGTTTATGTGCCTTGTAATGCTGTTTAGTAAAAAGAATGCTAATGCTCCATTGAAAGTAACACATTAACGAATCACAGCGTTACATGTTCTGCAGAGGTGTGGTTTTGAACTAAACGTTTTCTTGGTGTTATATCTAATTATGTGATAAAATTAAATGCTAAAAACAAAAATCAAAGAGGTTTAAAATATAAATCAGAAATATAAACGGGTAAGTTATCAATCCTTGACTTATGATACATCACTGTGGATCGTTCTAGAAGAAAGAAGTCATAATGTGGATACCGAATTTGTCCTCGAAGTTTTCTTCTATATGTATCGTGAACATTCTAAAAAATTTCGCCGACAGGTGTATAAGGGATTCTTAATTTTCTTCATTCTCACTGTATTTTTTAGACCATGATTCCAGATAACTCATACATCAAAATAGCTCTGTTACACCTCACTGTTACATATATAGATTAAAAGAAGGCACTAAAAACGATTTGGAATATAAGTCTGTAATACATATCTTTATTGATATATTTGTATTGTTTTTTCACGTTCATAAACAAAAGAAAAAAGCGTAATGTCCTTAACACGAAGAAAACGGAAAAACAGTAAACTTCATCGTAAATTTAGAAGCACTGTACTGCAATTTATATAACATTTTTTTTACACTTTTCGAGTAAATTTTGAATTTATGTCATCAATTCCTTCTGCTCTGAAGAAGGCCATTTTTCATGCTCATAATGGATTCATCCTGGACTCCAAACATCGATAGAACCCAACTTAACTGAATCAACTCACCTATAAAAATTTCTGACTATTAGAGTAATCAGAATAAAGACACTGCATTCCCTTTACTCTTAAAAAATTCTGAGGAAAAAAGTAATTTATTCCAGTAAACAGTATTTACTTGTAGCCAGGTAGATAACGCCATTAAACACTGATAGTTGGCTATTAGTTCGCACCAACCAACGGGCTGGTATCATAAAATAGTTTTACCCGGTGCCATCCCATGTGTTGCGTTGCCGTCTTCCATTAAACCAAACCGAACGATTACATGTCTTTAAAAATTAACTTTCAAAGCAATTATTTCAATTTCCTAACATTACAGAACTTTCATCTGGCTTTTCTGTACTTTCAGGATGAATCTTTACTTCAAGGATTTAAAACTGAATGATTAATAAATTATTTTATGATAATCCTTAAATTAGAAGTAAAACGATATAATTATAAATTAGTAATATACTTTAATACTTTTTCCTTCAGAGGGACTTCAGAATGTCGAAAAAGAACTTGGAAGTGATTACCCTGGATTCTATTTTCGACAACAATATTGTGCTGGATGTAGATCATTCTTAAAAAATAACTTGAAAGATATTTTAGAAACAGCTGAAAATCTAAATGAGATGTTGAAAAATAACAATGGGGTTCCAATTAAGATGGAACTAGAAGATCTTTCAACTGTGTTTAAGGGTCTGCCAGCATTTGAAGAAAACCAGTAAGTTTTCTTTTAAATTCTAAAAGTATATTCTGAAGTAGACATAATTTCTAAAAGTTTGGCAAAAATTTTATGAATTTTAAAGGGAAATAATTAAAAAATTGGATGAAGTTGAAGAATTATACAACGATATTAAAATTGCAAGAGAAACTTTCTTAGATTGGGATTACGATAGACCTATACCGGATGATAATGACTCGGAAGAAGAAAAAATGGTAAATTTGTTTTTATAACTAAAACTATTTTTAAAATATAATATATTTAAAAAATAAAGAACATAAATAAGCATAAAACAAAGTATAATTTAACATACTAATGATTATTCCTGAAGTACTAACAAATTTTTAATGTTATTTAATGGTTTTACTTTTCTACAGGTTCGACAATTTCATGTTGATTTACAACATGCAAGAGATGCATTTACAGCAGCTATAATTAATCTAGATATTTCTTCATCGGCTTCAATAAATCAATTCGATGAAGCTTATAAGGCGTATGGACCTACAGACACACACGATCGGTTCCAAAAGAGATTGGAAGAAATACAAAAGAAATTCGATAAAATTCATTCTAAACATTAAGATATGCGTTTGTTGTTCAATGTATATTTTTTAATATGAATAAATATGTTACAATATAGAAGAGTTACAGACAAACTGAAATTTGGCGCATTCGAGCTTTGGATTCACTTTAGAAACAGGCTTTATCGGAGGAAGTTACGTAGATATTTGGCTGAAATCTTAACTTCTATATTAAGAGAAACTTTTATTTTTTTGTAAAATTTTTCGTATTCAAAAAATATAACTTTTTGTTGCTGGTTTGTTTGTTAATATATAAATATAAAATATGAAACTTAAAAAATTATTAACGGTGTTGGTCTCTCTCGATTCCCGAAAGATTCTATTTGGAAGTATTTAGTGACTCATAACTCGAATGACCTGAGATGAAACTTCACATAATTTGAGTAATGGAATCTTTACTTTTGATGTAATAACTTCATACTTAATGTTATCAATACTGTTGCTCATTAGCATTGATTTTCAATTATGTAGAGTTTTGTCTATTTAACAGATCATGGGAGAAGTTCGTCAAGAAGAACACGTTCTTGATTTCTCTCATTTTAAGTTAATGTTGCGAGAGATCGGATCAAAGTTTCCAGTAGGATGCATGGCAATCTACACTATGATATGTATATGTTATTTAAACAGGTAGTGAAACTTCCCATTGCTCAACTTTCAAATACGGACAATTAAAATATTTTTTACAGATTTATAATGGACAGGTTTCATTTGACACACGTATAAGATAATTACATATGTTAAAAGAGTATGGTAAATATACATAAATAAACAATGTAAATCACGTATAGTACACTCCAATAACACGGTAGATACGTTCCGTATTTTATGAATTCCATGTTGTACGAGTCACTTAAATACATGAGCAAATTACAGCCCAGCACGTGTGCAGTTTAGGAAGTACGGCTGTTTGAAAGGTTTTCTTCCATAAAATTTATCGATTTTAGACTAATTTGACTCAACATTTCCAAAACACGTATAATTTTTTGAGAATAATCAATATAAAATATGCTTTAAACAAAAAATTGTAAAATTACTTACCGAGTGTGCACCGTTTGACGATGCCATTGTTTAAGCTTGTTTTCGTCGCGGAGCGGCGCATCAAACGGCGGGCGCGTGTTTCCTAATAAGTTAGTTTTCTGCGAAAAATTCGCTGAACTTTGGAGACATCATTAATATAAATATAATTTTTATGGCCGTTAAATAATAAATGGTTTTTAGTAGGTCTGTTGCTCGTTTAAACTCAACTGTTTGTGCAATATCCGCTATTGGTCTAGATTCGACCAATCCTGTCGCGACACGAGTCGGCGATGACATTTTACCGTATTATACGAGTCTTTTTTAGTGTGTTTATACGAATACGATCGCAATTTTTTAGCCGCTTTATACGAATCCGTATTATACGAACCCGTTTTATAGGTGGTTTACTGTATACAGTACATCTTAATCTCGAGTGCGCGAGGCAAGAAGTAAATAGCGAAGTGATTAGTAAAGTCATATTAATTAATTAATTTAACCAACCAATAGACACGCTGTTCTTTCTTACGTAAGGAAGAGTGGAACTAGTTGTGACACAGACAAGCAGCGATAAAGCTTATAACTTTTTTCTTTGAGGCTGATATACTGAATGCCATCATTGCAACATTCTATGTATCCCTCTTAATATTGCATATGAATTAGAGAGAGAATATTGCGCAGCATTTAAGTTTTAATAATTAATGTGTTTTTAGGGTCGAAAAGTAAAATTTGCGTTTGTGGATTAAATTACGTAATAATAAATATAAATAATATTTTTGTCAATCCAGGAGTATTTCAAATGGTCAGAAGGCAAACAAAATGCAAAATTTCAAAACACAATTTACATAAACAGACGCGCTGTCTATAATTTAACAATTTTTATTTAAATTTATTGGGTCCATTAATTCCGACGCGATATCGGTAAGATATTCATAATTGTGGCATGCGAAATGTTACAAGATTACGTAAAGGCGGCTAAACAAATAGTCAGAAAGATGTATTTTACAGCACTTTTATATCTTTAGAATGTCTGTACTGTAATGTGTCACAAACCACTCTTTAAAAATATTTGTTTTATTAATCCTTCCCAAAATTCATTAAAACCAAACTAATGGAGATTTTCTATTTTTCATTAAATACGATATTAAGTTTACCATATGATGTCCTAAACTAGGCTCACCACCAATTGTTAATTCACCTTTTACGTTCTATCCGTAATGATTTTGTCTCAGTTTGTCGATTAAATGCGAAATATATTTTCGACATAACTGCGGGACAGATATAATTATTTGTTTAATAATTGCATTCCACCATTGTTATCATCATCATCATCAGGTTTATCCTCGGATTGAGACGATACTTCTTGAATTTCGTTTGGTACGACAGACACTTTGACAGATTCTTTTGGCGCATGAACTGTTCTCTGATATTTTGAAATCAGTTGACTTAATAATTTGACTTTACTATTGTCGGCAAAATCGGTGCTCTCGAGTAAATCCTCGATATTATTACCAATTCTTATTTTAGGTTATTGATATGCCGGTAAAAATTTGGGATGAACCAGTGCCATTTGCTTTGCCATTAGATTCTTTTTCCTATTACCTTACCAATTAGCCCTCCTACCATGGACAATAACGGCACCAGTAGAAGAGGAAGAAATCCACGAGATTGATTAACCAAAACTTTTTTCTTGGTATTTAAAGCAACATGTTTTTCACTTAATATCCTAATAATTTTTTTTATATTTTTATAATTTATGACCATCAGCGGGTATAATCCCTTTCCGCAAATTATCGCATATTTTCGCACAAAACTTTAATTTGATCGGAGTCGCTTCCTTGAACATTGCGCTTCGTTGAAAAGGAGTAGTCTTCGCTAAAAGCTCCAACATATGATAATTTTTATGTTCTATTGCGTGACCTTGTTATATTGCCATAGAATTAAGGCACTGCCGAACAGAAAAGTGATTCCTTGCACTTGATACAGAAATGACATTTTTGGCAACCTTTATTCAAAGAAGATCCTTACACCTGACGGTCTCGGACAGGCGATCTTCGCAGAGAGGCGATCCAAGAAAAAGACAATTACAATCGATTGATTTGCTCTGTATTCTGTTTGTACTTCGTGCATATTTTCCTTTAGGCGTGAAACGTTCGCATCAATGTGCACTGTCTTCTTAATTAAAATAATTTTTTATTTATATATTTATTTGAACAAACCAAATGGATATGTAAACCTTTTCTATTTGTTTACGGAAAAGTTAGAAAACAGTTTACAAAAATGAAAAAGAAACTAGAACGTGGGGTAAAACTTGATAAAGTGTTAAGCCAATGTCTATTGCACAGTATATTTTCTTTTTACTATATTTCTAAAGTTTAAGAAATTTATCTTATTATTATCTTATTGGACACTCTTGCAATGATTAACTATTTCAAAGATCGGCGATTTCAATGCAATTTAAAACATCAACAACAAACATTAAGGTTATTATATCATTCTGTACTTCTAACCTGTAAACACTATCATATTATAATGTGTAGTTTATATTTAGTTTATATAGTTTGTCTTTTTTCCATTTCTTTTCATGCTAATTGGAGTATTTTATGATGTGCATAGAAATACGTTCGATATTTCACAAAAACCCAAATAACTTCTAAAATAGTACAGTAGAAAGCGACTTTCTCAAGGTATTTTTTTAACTGTCTATCTCCATTCCGCCGAGTGAATTTTAAAAAAAAATCGTTTATAGTTTGCATTCTCGTGGCGTACCCTAACTGTGTACCAAACTTCAAGTTTTAATTCCTAATCGTTTTTGCCCTGGGTTTATTATTATCATTATATCAACCCATTTCGATTATATTAGATTTGCTAACAGGTGGGTCTATTTCTTTTAACTGTAGCCGAGAAAAGCACGCAACTGTATGCAGGATATTTCAATGTTGTTTTACTTATGTGGATCGGTGTTTAACTTTACATTACTTGGACTAGTGAATTTGTTTTAATCGTTTCATTATACTTCATATGTAATTGTTTCGTATTGTTAAATTTTACTTTTATTTGTGGCCCTTATGCCAAAGTGGTATTTTTGATATGCAGCAACTGACTTAGTTGCTGCCTACCAAAAATGTGTAATGTTTTCGTGATAAAATATCAAAATAGTAGTAGCCCGGGGCGTCCCCTAGTCGGCGTTCTTTACAAATTTCCATGAGGCACAGTTCCTTTAACTTTTTTGTTCTTATCAATATGTTCTACAGCTCTGTACAGTCCCAATCGTATCATACGGATCTATATTTCTATCTATTAAACATTCTAAAGAACTTTAAAATAGTTTAATTTGTTTATTTACCTTCGGTTGTAAACCTCCATTTTAAATCTATCCGCCATTTTTTCAGCAAATTTCCCGTGAGTCAATGCGCGACGTTCACTGGCTTGTAAGTCACGAGATGTTGTAAACATGCGGCGCAAGGTTAATCTAGGCATATAATAAGGCAAGGCAAGGCATATAATAATTATTTATACCATTACGCGGTAAAAATAATTAATTCGTATCAGTAATAAATTTGTATTACAATAAAAATAATTTATTGTTAATTTAAAATCGTCGCTAGGGCGCCTCTAGTGCCCATTTTTGGCATACCGTTACGCGGACGGTCGGAGGACGGACTGACACGAGTTGAATGGGTTGTATAGATAGATAATTATATAATTTACTATAAAGAATCCAATGAAAATTATATTATCAAAAGTAACATAACAATTAAATATCGTATATAATTATCTATTATTGTTTTATTTTAAAATGTAAAATTAAAAATTGAATTAGAACTTACCTCAGATCGTGTTAATGCTCAGTGGGTCGGTTCGATTTACGTCAGGCAGATTTGGCGGGTTGATGCGAAGCGTTGTGATGATAGGTCGGTGTTGTGCAACTACCGTCTCCTATGGCACGACATTCGTGTCGACGACAGAGTGTAGGTCGCGTCGTCGGACTAAGACATAGTCGATCTGCGACATTGTGTCTCCACTGCGAAAAGTGGGCCGTTCCGGCAGTCGTTTCTTGAACCAAG